ATGAGACAAGTGGGAGACATGTGTGGATCATTACGGAAAGATAAGCTATAAATATAATACCACTAGCTTTCGCCCGCGATTCCGTCTGCGCAAAACTAAAAAAAAAGAAAACAAATAGTCTATATGTTCTTAAAGAGTGTTTTACATCTTTGCCATTTCATCCAAATTTGGCATTTTCGTAATTACCTTTACCACTTGTTATCTACCTCATGGCATTGTCTATGCCTTCCAACATTCCTTTATCCAATCTTTCACATTTATAGTATAGTAACATAGAAGATATGCCCTTGACTCACATTTAAACTGTATGAACGTCGCGTAAACAAATGGATTAGATAACGACAGCAAACAATTTATTCATTATCATTCTAGTAAGATTTAAGATGTACTCTCCGTGAGTTTCCACTGACGAAACATGTATAATACATATATGCTCATCTCTGTTTTTTCAATGAGTTTAAGGGGGATATTTAAATAGAAGTGTCTTGACAATGGAATAGTTGAGGTAAACATTTCCATCATTTTTTTTATCTTATCATGCTTTTTTTTGTGCATGTACGTGTACTTGTAAGTTTACTTACCCTTCGATGTAAATTGTGTAAAATGCAGATGACATATGTAAATATTTAAAACTAGCTTTCGCCCGCGACTCCGTCCGCGTGGAATAGAAAAAACAAAAGTGAATAGCCTATGTGTTCTTCTAGACTATCCTCTACGTCTTTACCAAATTACATCGAAATCCGTTCAGTCGTTTGGGCTACAAACTCTAACATCCATCTATCCATCTAAACTTTCGCATTTATAACATAAGTATGATTACTGTGTAATGGATGTAATATTCTCGTAAAGCTATAGAACACCCAAATTTGTTTAATGAGAATAGCGCCATCTAGTTTAAAAGTTATGTTTTATATTTAGTAATAGAAATAAAAGGGCATGACTTCTATAATTGTAATAGGTACAGTTGGCAGTAAATGGTGTTTTAACGTCAGATTTAAATTATAGAAGGGTGAATGGCATCATTTGGATGAGTGCCCGTCACCTCGAACTGTTGGACGCGTTTAACATCAATAGCTAATTGAACCTGCCAAGTATCTAACTGCAGCCATCTTTAATACAGAACACTAACAACTTTGTAATTGGTAGAAATAATAGCTCGTGTAATTTTACACAATTTGCGAAGATGGGTTATAATAGCGGTAATTGTGGAGTGAATTATAGTTTGAGAGACTCCTTTAGTTAAAATGATTGGTTGGCCGTTACCCTCCAAAGTTTTGTACATCGTTTTTTGCATCTAAAAAAAATTACACAGAAGTTAATGTTGTCTTCACACATATGGTCGAATAGTACTTACAAAAGTCTTATTTATACGTATAAGATACTTATTTACGAGCTATTTATTTGTAACGAGCTGTTCCCGTACGGCTTCATCCGCATGAAATTGTAAAAACTTTATTTTATTGTTTACATTTTTCAAATTCTCAATTGCAAATGTCAAATTCACCGTTACCATAATAACCTTGCTTCCCTAATATTTGTAGTTTATGGTACCTTTTCCGTAGTGAAGGTTTTTCTAATATATACCCCTAAGTTTGATAGCGTAAATATATAGCCTAATGCGTGTCGGAAGTGTGGGGCTTTTTTATTAAAGAAATAATTATTTAACAATATGCTGTGATTGCTGAGCCTACGACACGAAGTAGCGTGTGTTTACGCTTTATTACATTGTATTATGTTTTATATGAAGATTTTTAAACGCAACGAACGAAAGAATGTACTCACATTAGGCTTGAGCATTTCCTCGAGACAATTGTCATTATGGCGGATGTCTGTGGTATTTAGGGCCCTCTTCATACTAAGAGTATGAGGCTTGTACTTGATTTTGGTAGACAGAATAAGAGCGCAGACTGTGGGGTGGAAATAAGGGGGCGTCATATGAAACATATCTTCAAACTGTCGGTTATTTAACAGAGTGTATATTGTGTTGAAGAACAATTATACTGCGAGGAATTTTTTGTGGCTTATTTTTTTATTTAGGTACTAATGTACACATACATGTAGCCTCTATTGTCTATTACGTTGATAGCAAAAGAAACAATTACAATCTTTTACGGTGGTGTATTATCAAAGATTATAAATTTTTATGCGATCTTCTTTTTTTTATCACTCGTTTTTTAATATTTTTCTTCTTATGGTGACATCACGTAACGAAGGTTGCCAATCATCATAGCGACTTCAAGTTTAGACACAGCAGCTCTAAATATACAACGCGTACTTTTGTTGTACTATTGGCGAAGATTTTAAGCAAATATATTCGGCTCCTTAATTAATGTTAGGAAATATTGTTACTGCTAAATATCGGTGCCTACGATACAGGCATTGCCTAATGTTGGCATCACCAGATTAATCGTATCAGACACAGATTGTATTTAGCTTTATGTTGGTATAACTGTAATTTTAATCGCGTAATTCCTTTGTTTTCAAAAAATTATTTCAATTCATAATGTCGCGACGTCATCTATTGATGAGTAGCGAAAATCATATTCGAGCAATAATCGAGCTGTTTCCAGAATGTTCGATCGCCGCAAGCAGCGAAAATGACGTTCGCGAAAAGATGTCTCGAACATTCGAAACGGCTTCGAGAATGTTCCATTATTATATTTATGTAATTCGGCCTATCGAGAAAGTTATGGAATAAAATGACAAATGAATAACGAAAAGAGATCGAAATTCGGGGTATGCAAGGGGAATCAGTCGTGACTCGGGGTGTTAGACGGTGGAAAGTGAACTGTGAAGAAGAAGTCCTGAGCGAATTACAAAGAAGACTAAGTGACCGCGGAGTGAAAGTGCAAGTGTTATAGTGACAGCGGTGTTCTGTAAAGTGCGCTAAGTTAGTGATTCTGTGTTTGCGTACATCGTGTAGTCTTAACGTACGATTTGTGAGTGCAGTGAATCCCTGTTCTTTAAGTCGCCAATAAATTAACGCAGAAAATTTCAAGGCGTTTTGACTCTATCCCTCACGCTCGTAACAATATTCCTTCTTGGACTTGTTTTTAAATTAGCTGTTAAAATTATTTTCATTATAATTTAGTTGACTGGTACTAAAGAAAATGTCATAAATGCACTTCACTCTTTGAAATTCATTTTATGCGATCGTTTCTATTAGAAACTAACCGATATACCGGTCTGTATGTACAACGAACATGGCTTACGATGTTAATAAAATGAGCTTTCATGTCCATATAACGTCGCTGCGATAACTTAGCTTTTGAACAGAGCTTTTTAAAACCTCATATCATAAATATCTAATACGCCAATTAAAGCTGCATTGTTGTTTATTAGCTATACTATTGTTGTACTACTATTTTGTACCGTTATGATTTCTAAAATGTTTTTTTGTTTATTTAATTTTTATTGTGTCTATAGATATCAGGGAATTTACACTTTGGCCTTTTTTGTGAAACTGTAGTGTGTCACCACCTTTACCCAAAAATATATTAAAAAAACAAAAGCTACATGAATATTCCGCTCGCTAAGCTCATCGTTGACACCCCGTCACTTTTGTCCCGCACGTGACCGCGATCCGCGCCGATAGTCAGCGTGAAAGATTTACGTGACGCCTTATGTATTACATAATATGAATTATATAGGATACGGGTTAGTATATAACTAAAATTTTGATATAAATGTTGGTTGGTTATCCTGATGTAATTCAATCGTACCTATTAAAACCTTGATACGCCTAGCAAGTTATATTAATTTATAAAAACCGTAATCAAATTGTATGTTCAATCCAATATTTAGGGCCTGTCCCACTATTGGCTGATAGAGGCTTCGATAGCTTCAAAATGACGTCACTGACAGGTTTACAATTATTTAAACTATTTAAAATGTTAGTAACATCATCTAAGAAAGAAAACCTGTTCGTGGTTAACATTTTAGATGTGTCTTCGAAAAATTACATAAAAGTTTTAAAAGTAATTAAGATTAAAAATGGAAAATGACATTTTAAATATGCCTAATGAAGGGTAGGGACATTAATTATTCTTGCAGAGTCGGATTAATGGACTTAACAAAGACTTTGGATAGAATCGACAGGCGTCTTGAAAAAAGTGAGGTAAAGAATGAGAGTAACGATTTATTTAAAGCTCGCTGACTCGAATACGGATTGAATAAAAAGACGACAAGCTTATCTATATACAGGATGTTATAAAATTATTTTCTTATAAAAAATCAGATCACATTTTTAAGCAAAATTTTTAGTTCTTTTTGTACCATGGGCGTAACTAATCGCTGTTCTCAGATAAGTCTAACGAACCCAATTAATATTGTAGTCTTATTTGAAGTTGAAATGTTGAACAAAACCTTTATCTTCTTAAAATAACCGTTCAGTTATACTTTAATAAATAAAACTGTAATGAAAAAAGCTCTTATATCCTTGGTTGAACGAGCAACGATGTGGGCGTATTAATAAAATTAGAGTTTCGAGAAGAAACCGTCACGTCCGTGTAATATCTTTATTAATGGTCTGCAAATTCGAAACGATTAACATACATGAATGACAGACGATAATTAATTTGAACAAAAACCATGCGGAGATTAAGTTGTTATGTTACATTAAAAATATATTTTAAGTTACAGTTATTATCTAGGAATATTTTTAGGTTTTTTCTTGACAGACAAGAGTGTACCCTACTGAAATTTCACCGTCTGTAGTAGGCCTAGCGACCAACCTTAGCGACGCCAAAGGTACATTTGAAGGCCTCTATGTATTTGAATGTACCAGCGAAAAAGAGTCCAGTTTTCTATGTTCAGTTATTCACAGCGCAGTAATAAAAATCGAAGTAAGAAAAAAAGTTTCGTTAATTGCCATTGCGTTATCACGAAAAGTTTGTGAGGAAAAACGACAAGATAGTTGTCCTATGGTCGCTCGCATATATTTTATAGCTCTGTGGAATGGAATGAGTGTGTAGCCCTAGCACAGCTTCAGTGCCCCGCCAACGGCCGTTGATGGTGGACGTGTTACGGTGTTCTGTATTTGTGTTTGCGAGTGTAGCGACATTACGATGTTCTGTGTCGTGATAAATTTTGTGCTTGTTTTGTGAATTTTGAATTTAGTGTTATTTTAGTTTAGTGTTTGGACTCAAGAATTTAATCCCGTTGGCTTGTTGGAGATATTCCAAATAACGTAAGGTTTGCCTTTTCTTTTTTACTTTAGGAAATTGTTGTGCATTATCTGAACTTTGTTTCCATCCTTTTGTAGGAATGTTCAAACTCGTTCGGAAAGAGTTCGGTTTGTTTCATTTATTTTGCATATTGCAGGTATTATAAAAAACGTTTTGGTTCTATATATGTACTTAAAAATAAATGTAAGAAAAATGCGGTAGTGGTGTTTTTATATCAAATTGTTAAAATATTTTTTGAAACTAAAATAATAAAATTACTTTGAAGTAAATTCAATTTCAAAATTATTGTAGCTAAATACCGATTTTTAAAAATTATGTAGGTATCGGTTACGTACCGATACCTACAGAATTTTTTAAAATAATTTAGTAGTTTTTTAAATAGTTAATTTGTATTGTACGTACAACTACTTACATTTTGTTAATTTATTTTATTTTGAAATAAAACTTTTTTGTCATAGATTATTAAAGTATTTAATTTAAATAGAACAAAATGAATATTTTTATTTCGTCATTTTTGGGTTACGCAAATCTTGCCCTTTACCGTTGAAAATAGGTAGTAGGTAAGCACCTACTTTTATTTATTGTTCTCAATTAATTGTAAATACTACCGTCAATTGTTTGTTGAATGGAAACGAAGAAGGAATTATCCTAGAATATAAAAACTCCTTGACATTGAATTCTCTTTGTTGATGAATTATCTTTTTGTCTTTGAGTGCTAAACTTGTTTATGGTTATCTGTCATAGATTAAAAGTGAACAACCTACAATCGTTTTACAATCTGGTGCGCATGAGACACATCGATTGCATATATGCTTTGTGACGTCATATGCATTGTAAATGTCGATAATAAATGGCAGTAAACGTAAATGTTTAGATATGCGCATTCCTAAACAGTTATATTTAGATACAATTTCCACTAGCGTGACAAGCTTGCGACTCGTACTACTGGCGGCCGCGCTAGAGGAAATAAGGTTTAAACATAACAGATTATAAATGCGTATAACCTTATTAAATGTGTTCATAATTTAACATATAACATTAAAAGGAATTTTACAAGTCGTCATTGCAATACAAAAATTTGTATTTTTGTATTTATTGGAATAACTCAAAACTACTGAAAGGTAATTTATCTGCTAGTAACATACGCTATATTTTTTATTATTTTTTTAATTCGCGCAAACAAAGTAAACATAAATAGTAATCTAATAGCTATATAATGCAATAGTAATAATTGTTTCTATTTTGTCTAATAACATGTAAGAGATGACAATATGCTAAAGAGTCACAGCAGTGGAGTACTACGGTAAAACAAACATGCATAAGACCTTGAGGCAACAATGTAACTAACAATTATAAAATGTCGGTCAATAGCAACTTCCTTGTTGGCTGCAGTCTACAATGCACGCTTCGTTTTAACTAAAATACAACTGCAAACGTACATTACACGTGCATCTGTGTTTAGGCGCTTGCCAAACGTAGAACCGTTAGTTGCAGATACTAACATTTTTTTATTTAAAAGTCAACCTTATATGACTGTAAATGTTGACGAGTTGCAAGAGAACTCATTGAAAACAGCAAAAACAGATCCCGATTGCCGGGATTAATTGACATCGCTGATCTGTATAAATGGATAGGCGTTTGAAGAAGTTAGGCGTTCCGATTTGAATGCTGTTAACGACAGTTAAGTCTATCTTTATTATTGGTTGGCAACCACAATTATCAGTGTCAAAATTGCGGTAATGAAATAGACACAAAAAACTACAGTTCACAGCCTGTCCATTTATAGTGGTCAGTGGTATATATGTATTCTAAACTGTATGCTGCCAGTTGTTAGATGCGGCAACATTAACTCCGTCTGCGAAGCGCCTTAACAATGTATTGCGCAGTGACTGGTTTGTTTTGATATTCCCTTCGGTGTATAAAAATAATCTCCAGATAGTAGGCACATTAGTATTACGAATGAATTAGTATATTTAGTTTGTTTCCGAATGTTTAAAATAGCCATTCTAAAACTTGCCCTGGCGTCGCCCTTATTCCTTTTCAAAAACACTTTTTTAACAAAGAAAAAAAACTGTCGTAAACAAAATAGATTATGTCTTGTTATTTACAAATCCATTTCTGTAATTCGCAAAGTTTCAATGCCTTTACCCTTAAAATATGACTTAAAACCGGTTCTCAGATACAGGGAGAGGAGAGAATCAACTTACATAAAAATACAGAGGAATTGAATACTTTATCCTTTTTTGAATTAGGTTAAAATACTAATTGAGAGGCAACTTTAAATTTTCGCTTCGGATTTTGAGATTCGACTGCAATTTTAACATTTGTCCTTTTGACTTTGGGTCTTTTTAATGGTAATCGTTACAAAAAGTCGCACCGCTCCGTTCTACGCAGACGTTCTCATTGTGGATAGCTCGAATTCGAACAAAGCGATTTACTTTTGCAGTTAAAGCGTGCAACAAAAGACTCGAATAATTGGTATGTCAGTGCTACCGTCCGATTACAATTTGAATGGGGAAAACTAAAACGAATAGATAATTTGCTACTAAAATTAAATTACAAATACCAAAAAAAGGATTTACAGAAAAGTTATTAGAGTACTCAGCTTGAAAAACGTTAAAACGTCGAGAAAGAAAGCATATAAATATTCACGAATTTCAATTAAAAATATTACGGCCAAAAGTTTTCGAAATATTCAAAATAAAAAAAAAATAATCTTAAAAATAAAAAATTGTGTACAAATAAAGTAAACTAATATCAGTACTGACAATCTTACTAATCTCTCTAATAATTTAGACGGATGAATGGATGTTTGTCAGAGTTTGCCGGCTACTCGGCTGAACTGATCTCGATGAAATTTGGCACAGTTGTAGAGCACCGTCTGGAAGACCACCTTGGCTAATAACTTTGGTTTTTAATTTGACGCGGACAGAGTTGGAAAACTAGTTTAACCAAAAAGAATTCGCATAATCTTCACAAACGCAGCCGCAAGCAATGTTTAGTCTAGAATAGATCACCATAACAATATCCCGATAGACAGGGTACATAAATAAAACAAATCGGGTCATGCAAAGGTTCATGCAAATGTTAAATCTATTTACGCCTCTGAACTTTCGGTTCCCTCTATTTCTGTTTCAAGTCTACTTTATTGCACAACCAGTTTATGTGCTATAAAACCTTTTTATATTAGAAACACGGTTTACTTACACGTGTAAAACAATATATATTACATGCAACACGGTAAAGATGGGTTTTCTTTCAAAATAGTAGATGGGACAGTAGCACGAAATTTCCAAAAAAGATGTGGTCATTAGTAATTTCTTGTATCGATGTTTTTTAATCCCGATACAAATGCTAAACAAATCCAAACAGAAAATGATATCGGTTATTTTACTAATACTTTCTCGCAAAATTTCGTGCTAGGTCCTACATTTTTAATGAAAGAAATAAGTTTTATTACACGATATAGATGGTGAGATAATTAGAGCATGACTAACATTTACGGCGAAAATAATATCGATTTTCGGTATATTAAATTCAATATTGTCGGTGTCATCTGTTGATGACATTTACAAAGAATCTTATTACTGTTCTAATAAGGCAAGGCGTCGGGGAATCGCGAACATTTAATATTGATACACTTTTTTTTTTACAGAAAAATATTAGTAGTTTTTTTATTAATTTACTAATATTTCCTTTAACCATTCCAACTAAGCTCTAGGCTTGTGCTAGGATATGGTTCACAACAGTAGTCGAATTTCGGGATTCGAACCATCGACCGCAAGATCAGTAGTCCGTACCCGGAACCATTAGGCTATTGCGCTTGTTAATCCAAATTTTGAATTTTGAAACCTTTAGACAGAGGGGACACCTTTGACTAAACGATTCCATAAAAGCGATTGTCGATTGTTTATCAGCCCATTCAACTGTTTATTTCACTACTAAGAATCGATTAGTGTGCGCACCTCCATATAAGCTCATAGGAATCAAAGCGAGACTAAACAATTGTGCGATAGTTTAGTCAAATGTGCGCACGCTCTTACTAAGGAATACTAATTAATACAAATTATAACCTAACTCTTAAAGGGCAAAGTAAACCAGTTTAGTGTTTATTCTTAATCAGTTTTCAGTAATTTTACCTTTACATTTTTTCAATGTGGCTATCTAAAAATGAAATGCTAAATCTAAACTGGTACTAAATTTAGTCGGTATCTAAATAATTTAAAAGAAATATCGGCTACCGAGTCGAACGCAAAAATATTTGATGAACAAATTATTATTCTTTAACCAAAGATAATTTATTTGCTTTTTATAATTTCCGAGGCGTCTCTTACAAGGAACCAATTAAAATCAAGTTCCCAAACCTTTCCAGGGACAGTTTACAATAAGAAAAACACGAATCCACGGCTTCATGAATAATTCCAATCTTCACATATACTTAAAAGGATTTAATTACTTTCTTATCTAAACAAAATGGTTAATACGTTATAACTGTTTTGTCTCCTAGCGGTTAACTAAAAGAGTTATTTATGCTTATAAAATACCTAAAAGCCTAACGGTTGATTAAAATGAAGTTACCATTGCAAACAATATAAATTACATAAAACGTTAATGACGATTTTTTTCTTTACTTTACCATGATAATTTTATTTTCGAATAAAATTATATTGTAGATGTAATAATAAGGTGTCGCTCGCGACTTCGCCCCTCGTGAAATTAAAAAAAAATCGAAAAATATGGTTATGTTACTCAGTGATAACATAGCTTTTTAATGATGCAAGAAAACTAAATCGGTCCAGTTTTTGAGTTATTTCAATACGTACAAAATAACAAATCTTTTCTCTTTATAATATCATCTAGCTGTTCCCGTGCGGCTTCATCCGCATGAAATTATGAAAATTTTGTTTCATTGTTTACATTTGTCAAATTACCAATAGCAAATGTCAAAATGACATAACAAAACCTTGGCAATCTTGCTTCCTTGTTGTCAGCAACTTATGGT